CAGTCTTCTTTTGCACGATACATGTCTGGTCAGGGATTTGATACATGGATTCTTGAAGTTCGTGGAGCTGGGTTAAGTGTGCAAGGATCAAATTTGAAAGAAATTGAGGCATCTGCCCATGCAGTATCTGACCAGATGGAAGCTGCTGCGAAGGCTGCAATTGATGGAGCTTCATCTCCAGAACAACAACCAACTGATGTCCCCAATGCCTTGCCATGTTCTGAGATCTCTGTTGTCAAGGATGACCCAACAGTGATAGAAACTATATGGGACGAATCTAAACTTGTGACGAGGTTGACAGAAACTTTTATCCTTTTGTCAGAAAGGCTCTCTGGTTTTCTCAGTGATAGTCAGTCAAGGATTATGTCTGCAAAGTTTTTTGATCAAATATCAAACTATTTAGAAGATTCACCATTATCTGAACGTTTTAATGAGATAAGGGGAAAACTTTCAAGGTTACTGGAAACAGGGCAAAACAATGGAATTGCTAGTCAAATCAGGGAATTAAGTCAAAGGCTTGTAAATGTTATTGAAGAAGGTCAACGATCTGTTTCACCTCCATTGTTTGACTTGCAAGAACGCTTCACTTCTACGATAGAAGACTTCCAGAAACAATTGGATTTGATTGTAAAGTATGACTGGGATTTTGATCATTACCTGGAGGAGGATGTTCCTGCTGCGGTGAGGTGACATTTTACGTTGGTGAAAGGCTGTGGCCATATAATTTTTTTCATTTAATTTTTTCTTCATAATCTATATTTTTGCTTGTTTTATCATTTCCTACCCTTTCAGTGTTGAGCTGGAGTTAATATTTGTTTATTGATATAGATGGAATACATAAGGGCAGAATGCAACCCAAAGGATGGTAAATTGCTTGCAATTGGACACTCTATGGGGGGTATCTTGCTCTACTCCCTGTTATCACGCTGTGGTATGATTGATAACTTGCAGTATGAGGTTACTCTCAACATTCTTTATTTGTAATGTATATGCACACTTATTTATTTAGCTCAAGTTTCTTGCTGTTTTTCTAACCTCTTTCTCATTATTCTTTTCTCTCTTTTCCCTCCCTTTCTTTTTTCCTTTTTAAAAAATGCCATTAATATCAGTGTTGTACTTTTGCTCTTGCTAGCTTTTGAAGGAAGAGAACCTAAGTTGGCAGCTGTTGTTACTCTGGCATCTTCACTTGACTACACAACTTCAAGATCATCACTCAAACTGCTCTTGCCCCTTGTGAGTAATGAAAAACAGAAGTTCTTGAGTGCTTTTTAATTCTTTGTTTTGCTTGTACGATGCTTATAATTTCAATGTAATAGTAATATCAAGATCGTATTCTGCAGGCAGATCCTGCACAGGCTCTTAATGTCCCTGTTGTTCCTTTGGGAGCATTATTGTCAGCAGCTTATCCTCTTTCATCTCGACCTCCTTATGTTTTGTCTTGGCTTAATAATTTGATATCTGCAGAGGACATGATGCATCCTGAGTTACTTGAGAAGCTTGTGTTGAACAACTTTTGTAAGTGGCAGTGCTTTTTGGTTTTTGTGAAATGTCCATTCACAATGTTTTTAGTCACCATAACTATCTTGAACAGCTTTTGTACGCACAAATGTCATATTCTTTCTCTAGTTATTAGAAAAGCTTCTGTTGAATACTTTTGTAAGAAAAGACATGCTTTCTGGTTTTTGTGAAATGTTAATAACGATGGTTTATTTACCATAAATATCTTGGACAGCTTTTATACACACATCCATCATATTCTTTTCTCTACTTTCAGAACTTTAGTTCCTTCTCTGAACGTTACATTGTTAGGATCCCAACTTTCAGCTATTCTTGGAATTGTTTCATGATCTAAGGCAAAAAGTTTGCTGGGTGTTAATTTACGCCACTTTGTGTATGTTGGTTGTTCTGGAATTATTATGGAAATCATTCTGGAAACTCTAGAAGATACTGAACTTCATTATAAAATTGTGATATTGAACTTCTTTATAAAATGTTCTTCATCTCACCATTTTGTTAGGATGGCAAAGCATTGTCCACATGATGCTAGCAGCCTCATATATCACTTGCATATGTATATACTCTTTCATACTTCAGACTATGCAAGTCATTGTTCTAAGCTACTTTTTCTTCCCAAGAAGAATTTTTGAGTTGATTATCTCAATTAATTAGCTTATTTTTTCTATTTAATAGAACTTTTAGATATATTTGAGAACTTCTATTTTGATCATAATTTGATACCTATAAATAGAATGCTCTAATTTAGTTATTTGGTAGATTACTATATGATTATTATAAAAATAAGTGAGTTATTGATTTGATAATTGAGTTCTAAGATCTCCAATTGATTCTTAATAGATATATTTTTTCTAATATTTTCAAATAGGAAACCCTAACTAGTTATTTGGTAAACTATTTATATGATTATTATAAAAATGTATGAGTTATTGATCTGATTGTTGAGATCAGATATTTCCAATTGGTTCTTAATAAATTCTTTTCAAATATTTTGCTCAAGCACTCTTTGTTTTACATTAATGTTATTTTGTTATTGCAAGTATCAATAATTAAATAAGATCCTAACTGAATAGGAAATAACAAACTCATACTAATAATAAGCCTATAGTTAATAATATTTAGTTAATTTAGTATTATTAACATTAATGTTATTTTGTTATTGCAAGTATCAATAATTAAATAAGATCCTAACTGAATAGGAAATAACAAACTCATACTAATAATAAGCCTATAGTTAATAATATTTAGTTAATTTAGTATTATTAACATTAATGTTATTTTGTTATTGCAAGTATCAATAATTAAATAAGATCCTAACTGAATAGGAAATAACAAACTCATACTAATAATAAGCCTATAGTTAATAATACTAAATTAACTAAATATTTAATTAATATGCAAAAATTACAATTATTTAAACTTCTCTTATTATTGAAATATGTCCATTTGAGGGTCTTCTTGTGTTGCATCAACTGTTGTCTTTTTTCATCTACTTTGTAATACAAATTCTAAGTTAATTTGTATTTCTTTTACTGGTAGGTACAATTCCAGCCAAACTTATTCTTCAGCTTACAACAGCATTTCGAGAAGGTGGCTTATGCGATAGGAGTGGTAAATTTTTCTATAAGGATCATCTACATAAAAGCAATGTTCCTGTGCTAGCTGTTGCTGGAGATCAGGATCTAATTTGCCCACCTGAGGCTGTAAAGGGTAATATTCTAAGGTTGATGTAAACGTTAACTCGAATGTCCACATATAGATGTATGGATGTTTTAACCAGGTTCACAATTTATACGTATGATGATATTTATATTCATGCATTGTTATTTGTTTGAGGCAGAAACTGTTAAGTTATTTCCTGAGAATTTGGTTACGTATAAGGCGTTTGGACAACCCGGAGGCCCACATTATGCACACTATGATTTGGTAGGAGGACGACTGGTGAGCACGATTTCTAATATTTAAAGAAAAATGGTGTCACAGCCCATTTGGTTATTTTTGTTTATGTCTTTTCATATATTTCACTTTGATATGCAGGCTGTGGAGCAAGTTTATCCCTGCATAGTTGAATTTCTTTGTCGCTATGACTTGACATAGTTTTCTTGGCTTGGGACTTCATCATCCACCAAGTTGATTTCCAACCGGCAACAAGCATGAAGTACTTCTCTCTCTGTGTCTTAATGATAGAAATTGTATTGGGTCTAAATAGAACTCTTCTTAGAGCTGCCATTAGTAAAAGCAAATGCTCACCTTTGACGTCATTGTATTTAGGGTCCGTGGGATATATGTTGAAATGCGAGAAAGACCTCCAGAATGGGAATAGAATGTGCGGGAGTCATGGAAAGATATAGCACATATCTCACTGTTGTGCTATAAAAGTAAACACAGGAGTGAATTCCGAAAGAGTTCCTGTGCAACAAGATCAAATGTGAAATTGCAGAATGTTGCGGAATGCAAAGATCCAAAAATTTCTGTAAGCTGGTCTATATTTTCATGGCGATATAAGGTATCCACGAACTCTTTGCTTAATTTTGAAACCAAAGGGGGCCCTATAATCCCTTTGAAAGGGGAAGAAAGTGTGTTTTTGTGCATTGTTCTCTAATCATGGGTATGAACTTCACTTATGCCGTGAGCTTGTAGCAAACTTTTTGCTTCTTTTGGTATGTGGAGATATTTATTAGTTTTTGCTTTATAAATCTATGTATGTCATTTATAAAATTATACAAATTAGTCAGCAATTAAGAGAACAACGGAGAAAATGACAATAAAAATTTATAAGATTTCCAAAAAAATTGTTCTTAGTGTTTTTCTCTAAAAAAAGATAATTTAGTTTTTGGTTTAATTATTACCAAGTGTGCAATTTTCATATATTTTCATGAACGAATGAGTAAGCATATAAAAATAATATAAATATATAAACATACCCTAATTTTATAATATATAAGCATTATATTGTAATATCAATAGTCATTCTAATAAAAAAAAAAAGGAGTTCAAAATCTCTGTCATTGTTTTTGTTTTATTGACCAATACGAATTCTTGTTCTTTGGTTAATTTTGTTAACTACTTCAAATACCAACAAAAGCATATTAATTAGAAACATATTTTAAAATTCAAGGTAAATTTATTAATTATTTAATTAAATTACTCGTTCATAATTGTTTATTAATTGTTATTGGTTCTCTATTTCCTTAATCAAATACATTGAAAATAAATAGATTTATTAATTAAATAAACTATTCATTTTTTTTTCTATGTTATAATTAATTTTGGTTCCAAATAATTTTCAACGCAAAGTATTAAATCCAATGGTTGAGCATATCTGATCCCCTCCCCCGTAGAGTCCCAATCCCACGAGCCCCATAAACCCTAAAAGAAAATCACAACTCGCCTAAACCCCCAGAGAAATCATGAGCTCATTTACCAACAGCACCAACCTCGACAATCTCTTACTCCAAACCCTGATGGGCAGGCTCCAAATCCGCCAGCCAAACAACCCCTTCCTCTCTCAATCGCTCGAGGATCTTCTCTTCGATGCAGCCAATCTCTCCGATGATGAAGGCGACGAAA